GCGTAGGAACCTTATTGTTGATGATTCGTTCCAGAACGTGTAGCGTCCATTTCTTGGAGGCCGGGTGCTGTCTGTTTGCTATGCGTCTCCAACCTTTCAGCCGGCCGTTTACTAACTTGACGAGCATGATGGGTTACTTGCTGATTGTTACTTAACAACCCTCAACCCTAAACCCTAAACCTTAGACCCTAAATCCTAAACCCTAAACATGTCCCCACCAAACCTAGTGGGTCCCTCCCAGGAGCACATGAGAGGCGTCAGACCCTCCTTTGGAGTCTTCCGCTTGATGAACTGCGTGGTATCCTGGGTATGGACTTGGGGCTCTCAGGTTCCATAGGGGCTTCCAACTGGGCATCCAACACATCCAAAAACACAGTTGCGCACACGCGAGCGCGAGCGCGCGCGCGCGCCTGGGTGTGGGTGTAGGTGGGCGTGGGCGTGGGTAGGTGACGCCGGTGCGGAGGGTGTGCAGGGTGTGGAGGGTGAGGGTCTCTGTGTGGACATGTTTTCTCCAAGCCCTACACCTCTGAATCCTAAACTTTAGGGAACTCTAGGGTTTCGCATGACCGAAGCCCCTTTCTACACCGTAGCGTCGGCGCTTCGGGCTGTTCCAGAAAGAAGAAGACCTGCTCCAGCCCGAGATCCAAGCATAAGCCGTAAACCCCGAGCTCATTGTATGGGTCGTGGGGCCGATCCTGAAGCCCACCCCAAAACAGGAAATAGAAAGAAACAACCGATAAAACACAAACCTCCGAACAGCTCCAAGCTTTTCTCAGGATCTACAAGGCCTGAGGGCCTCTGGTGAAGCTTTCAAACCCCCACGCACAAACCGCACCCTAAACCCTAAATTCCTAAACCCTAACTGAACCCCCTAAACCCTAAACCCCTAAACCCTGAACCCCTAAACCCCTAAGCCAAACCCCTAAACCCTAAAACCCCTGAACCCCTAAACCAGGCGATCGTCGGCTCGGGTGCCCGCATCGCCAAAGACCCCGGTCGGGGGTTTTGGCCGCATGACAAACGGGCGCCGGGTCTCCAGGAAGGCCCCCTGACTTCTAGCTTTAGGGTTTCTTTTTCGTTTTTTTGGGGTTTAGGGTGTAGGGGTTTACGGGTTTAGGGGTTAGAGGTTAGGGTCTAATTTGTTAGGGCATTGAAGTTCTCAAGATCACAGATTGGAGGGAGGGCTGCTGATAGGATTCCCTTCTATTCGTAGCCTTTCCGCCCGAATCACCCAGAGACTCCAATATCCCTTAATTAAGGCACGCGGCCCAGAAAAAAAACCCACCCCGGAAGCAAAACCTGACAGTGGAGGGTTCAGGCAAGTGCTGAAAAGTGCGGCAGTTGCAGCGAAATCGCATGTTTCGACCTACCCCAGCGGTCTTGTAGCACAAGGAAAACGACGCACGATTTCGTGCGTCGTTTTTTGGGCGCACTATGCGGCCTCAAGGTGCCATCTGAGCACGGTTCCTGCTGCAAGCCATCTGTGTCATGTCCTGACCCAGCGGTATCACTGGGCCTCATGGGTATGCTGCTTCAAAGCATTCTGTGTGGCGCCGCATAGTGCACCCAACAAACTGGTCACAAAATCGTGTCCAGTTTTGCTTGTGCTACACGACCGCTGGGGTAGGTCAAAACATGCGATTTCACTGCGCCTGCCACACTTTTCTACACTTGCCTAAAACCTCCACCGTCAGGTTTTGCTTCCGGGGTGGTGTTTTAGCACTATAGTATAACTAAGTAGAAGTAACTGTCCTGGCGTCCCCATCACAGTCGCAGCAACACTATGACAAATTGCCCTGACATAAGTATTACGGCTCCCTAAACCCCAAACCCCTGGAGCAGCAATGCGACGATGAGCACCTGAGTGAGCAAGGTGGTTTTTTTCCCAGACGCGTACCTTAATTAAGGAATATACCTTAAAATCATATTAAGGATCCTACTACAATTTAAGGTAGATTCCTGAACTAAGGGATATTGGAGTCTCTGAGCACCATACCTTGAACTTGGGCCTTCCATCGTTTAAACCTCGTCTTTCGCCCACCTGGTCAGTGATGACTAGACATATAAAAACAAGGTTACTCAGAAGAGCAGTCAGAAAATGTTCAAATTGAAAAAAGAATAGTCTGCTATGAAAAAGCTGTAACCACATTCATGACGATGACGATGATGATGATGGCGATGGTGCTAATTAAGGTTACTATGATGACTGTGACTATGACTGTGCTTATGATGCTGATGAAAACATACATAAACTTGTCTCTGCATGTGTATGCATGTATGTATATGTGTATGCATGTATGTACGTACACATGTATGTACGTATGTATGCATGTATGTACGTATGTATGTATGTATGTATGTATGTATGTATGTATGTATGTATGTATGTATGTACTAATGCGATGTACGAACGCAATGTAATGTAAGGTAGTGTAATGTTACATATGTATGTATGTATGTATGTATGTATGTATGTATGTATGTATGTATGTGGGTCTGTATGTATGTATGTATGTATGTATGTATGTATGTATGTAGGTCTGTATGTATGTATGTATGCATGCATGTATGCATGCATGCATGCATGCATGGGTGTGTTTGTATATATGCTGAGTTTGCAATTTCTCTGTATTCTCATATATTCGCATATTTCTCCCAGCACAGTATGCAACACGAGGTGGAAGAATCGAAAGCCTCCATCCCGAAACCCTTCAAAACCCCAGTACTCTCAAGAGCCATTCAATCAATACCCTAAACCCTAAACCCTAAACCCTTAACCCTTAATCCTAAA